AGTTGAATGATGTCCACCCTGCATTACGCTTCACATGTGAACACGAGGATTGCAACAAATTGTCGTTTTTAGATGTACTCGTGGAAAAGACATGTGAGGGTGGTGTGACATCGGTGTATCGTAAGCCTACATTCACTGGTCAGTATATTATGTACGATTCATATTGCTCTTCGCAATACAAGACCAATCTAGTCCGAAACTTAGCTGACAGGGCAAGACGCATTTGCTCCGAGAGTAAACTGCAAGCAGAACTTGATTTCCTTCGCTCTGTCTTTCTTAAGAACGGATATCCAGGATCACTATTAGCGAAACTACTCACGAACAATGCGCCCCGTAAGGAACTGACAATCGGCCCGGCTCCTTGTCGTGTCTTCCTGTGCCTGCCTTGGAAAGGCGCGGAGTCGACAAAGGTCAGTCGTATTGTCAAGTCTATTGTCCAGAAGACGTACTATGCAGTGAATGTAGTAACTGTCTTCACCACGATACGTTCGTTCACGGTGTTGAAGGACGTCCTGCCGACCCATCATTTGAGTCACCTCATTTATCATTTTGAATGCCGACAGTGCGGTAGTCGGTATGTTGGCAGGACGCTTCAACACTTGTCCGAACGTATCAAACAACACGTCCCATTGTCCTTGTTGTCAAAAGCGGCCAGGGCAGGCAGGCCAAAGCGTGGGAGGCCGAGAAAACACCCGTTGCCTACTACTACGCCTGTCAGTATTACAACACAACCAGAAACGGATACAACACCGGACTCAACAGTAGCGCAACACACGAATCTGGTGTCACTCTTGACGACAACAACACGGCATGGGAGACCACCGGACGACCGTTCATTAACAAACCCGATGGCGGTAACGGAAAGATCACCAGGAGAACGAAATGAAAATGGAGGAAAAACGAATCTGAGGAGAAGCCAGAGACTAGCGGAGACACGACTGAGAAAAATGGAGAAGGCGGAACCAGTAGTGGCAGGTGAAAGTACGGGCGCAGCAGTGAACACGTCAAGGAGAAAGAAGCGATGGCATGAGGAGATGGAGATGGAGGATGATGATGGGGATGAACAGGATGGTCAGGAGGAAAGTAAGGGTGAGCAGGAACGGGAAGTGGAGGATGAGAGTGATACGGACGAGGAGGAGTTCGACATCGACAAGAGCAAGTCTGCCATCTACAAGCATTTGGTGTCCAGTCCGGATTGTCGTAAGTTGTTTGACGATTCCTGGTTTAGTGTTATTTGTCGCGCGCGTTTCTTTAAGCAGTTGCAGGTGTTGGAAGCTGTATATATTCGCACACGTGACCCTGTTCTATGCAAGCAAAAAGAAAATGTTGTAGCACTCACACTTTTTAAATAATACGCACTCACCAGTTTTTGTTCACACGCACTCACAGCTGCCACATTCATCTACTGCTACCATTCTCAGATACACTGCAAAGGTTCACACTACACGCGTTATGCATAACCGCTAGCTGTGCTGCATTCTCACGCTTCTTTTCATGTTACTCTAGCTATATAACTGGTTGTTTTAGTGATTCTTACTATGTGACGATGTTCCACTGATGATGGTCACACGAAAACGTTCTGGAATTGTTTCATTTTAATTGTTTATACATGATTATGAGTGCACAATTGATATTTTTCATTGCTATTTTACGACTGTTGTCTCCTCGTCGGTTATTTAAATACTTCTAGTTGTAGTAGTAACATTAGTCAGCGTTACCACGTGACCTGGTGACTTTCAGCACTTGTACTGAGTGGTAGTACTTTGTAGTACTACTACTGGTAGTGGTAGTCAACAGTCAGCGTGACCACGTGACCTGGTGACTCTTCTGCCCAACAAAGGGCAACAAGTAGCTGTAACAGTAACAACTACCCGTCATGCATGTACATGATATCAGTGGTCGACGGGATGGGTCTGTCACAGACTCACAGACTCGCAGTCTGCTCCACACCATAGTACATCATGTACATGACATTGTACTGTCGTGGACATGGAAATCCGGTCGCACGTCTGCTGGCCATGCCGCCATGGCATGCAGTATTACCAGGGGGTCTATACGACTCCCTGGTATTACTATTACTAGTATTAGTATTACGCGCTGCTGCTGGTCGCATCGTATCAACATGTGCGCTGCATGCAACGACGACGTTCTTTACGCGCTGAGGGCGCCGGCCCCGGTCAATCGACTGTATTTCATTGTCCGCGACAGTACCAAGAGTACATAACCCCACAGAGTGTGCAACTCCCACATACCCTGTTGTCCCGACAGAATTTCAAGTTGACGTCATTATTTATGACGCAATGCTCCTTGCATCAGTGATTTACAACATGTGTACGGGTGTCAACGCATCACATGTTTTTCTTTGCAATAATTTCAACCTATTTGTACAGGATCGATCGGCTTCGGTCAACCACAGGTTCCGGATTCGTCTGATAATCCGTGTACAGTGCGCATTGCATCATCAAAATGACGTCAACTTGAAATTCTGTCGGGACAGCACCCATAGTGCCAGTTAGTGGAGTTGCACACTCTGGGGGGTTATGTACTCTTGACAGTACGTATGCGCTTTGCTGTTGATCATGTTGATCAGACAGGCACTGTACAGTGAGTTGGTTAAAGAGCATGATTGAAGTACAATGTACAGTGAGTTGGTTAAAGAGCATGATTGAAGTAAAATGTACAGTGAGTTGGTTAAAGAGCATGATTGAAGTACAATGTCATGTACTGCTGAGTACTACTACTAGTGTACTTGGTTCAAGTCATCATGCGGCTCAGCACTTGTGCCTGCAGTGGTTGTGAGACTTATTGGTATCCCCTCATACCCACCGTTACTGGCGTTAGGCGCTGCATCAGCCGCTAGGGGGTTATCACAATATCAGGTTGCCCGGTGTTCAGCCGCCGTCGTGAGTTCGCTTTGGGAACGGAAACGATAACTTTATAGAAAAGAAAAGGACCAAGGAACTGCAAGCTACGCTATAATGTCCACTAACACCACCAGTTACTAAAGAATCAGCTCATGCGATAACATTGCACGACACTGACCGACGGTACTGGCGTTCTACAACTATCTGGCTAACAGCTCTCGCACATCTTGGATGTGCGCTCCAACAGCCTTCCAACTTGGAAGGTTCTAAGTTATAGAAAAAACAACAGGAGGGGATGGTGAATGCAACGCAGACAAGCACGAGTGGACATTATAGCGTAACTTGTAGTTCATTGGTCTTTTTTTCTTTTCTATAAATTTATCCTTGGCTCTTCATTCGAGTGAATTCTTGGAAACGATAACCTTCAGCATTTTTCCGTATCTGTACGGAAAACCACTCCTTCGTCCGCAGTACGAAATTTGAGCTAAATGGAGGGGAAAATTGAAGAGGATCGATCAGCTAAAGCTACATCAGTATATGTATGTGTGTAGACGGTAAGGCAAGCGCAAGCTGTAAGCCATGAATATCCCTGTGGCAATGCCAGTGTATGTCCTTCTTCTTCCACAACATGTACATGTAGCAGCAAAAAACAAGTCGTGGTACATGTCATACATTTTTGTTGTTCAACTTGGGCCAGTAGGACTACATGTACCACCCCCCCCCCCCCCACACCCCCACACACACACACACCACCACCACCACCAGCCCATGGCTGTTTATTTTATTTTTATTTTATGAGGACGGAAGGATCAAGAGGGGTAAGTAGCAGCATTGAGGTCAGCCGGAGAGCGCAGCGGTGTGGTGTGGTGGTTGATGAGAAGGAGGGAAGGAGAAAGAGATAGTGAATGGTGGTTGCATTTTTTGTGTTTTACATTATATTTTTGACAAGACGGAAATGGAGACTACTCTCAAAGGGACGAACAAGAAGACTGACAAAAGGTCTCTGGATAGAAATGAAAAATGAATGTGAAATGCCTTGCCCCATTGATAAATGGAATGTAGTATGTGTAGGTATACTTCCCACCAAGCACAAACACCAATTTATTGAAGTTTTAAAAGGATTACCCAGAGGCTCTAGGCCTGTCCAGGGGATCTCCCACTCACAGAAATATCAAGCATTCGTGAAAGAGTAACAGAGTTCAAGAAGAAAAACAGAATAAAAATAATAGAGAGGAAAGGGGACAATGGGTAGATGCTAGATGGTCGTGAGAGATGCAGAATGAGAGAGGAGAGGAGAGGAGGGAAGACGCTAGCGAGGCGCTGGTCTATACCGTTTTATAGGGCGTCGGTGACTCGGTGGCTGTTTGCCAGTTCAACCTGCAGCAAATACTTGTTGCACTTTTCACGGTGGGGGGGGGGGGGGGGGAGGGGGTATTTACTCTCGGTACTTGCCATTCTGAAAACCTCTGAACAAAAAAAAGACAGGAGATGGGCTCGGCGCCTCGCGCACCAAGAGGCAAGATCATCTACGAAAATGGAGGCATAGCATTTCGCCCTCACGCGTCTCACAGAAACAGCAACTATCAAAGAAAGCGCATGGCTAGCTAGCTACACTGACTACAATCACATGTATGTATGTCATGTACTGTAGCGGACATGGAAATCCAGTCGATTGACGCGGGGCCGGCGCCCTCAGCGCGCGTACAGACCGCTGCGTGCAGTGCACATGTTGATCCGATGCGACGAGCGCGCTGCAGCGCATGTGGGTGCAGCTTGTCCACGGCTGCATGGCCAGCGCCCTGGGGCCGCTAGACGTGCGACCGGATTTCCATGTCTACAACAGTAGCTGCGCTGCATGCATTATTCACACACAGCGCACGTGACGTGCGCACATGCACCGACTAGATTGTAGACGTAGACAGACAGACTCAGTGCATGTGTGTAGTGCATGTGTACGTGTGTAGTGCACGACATGACCAGGATGATAGTCATGTCGACAGCGCACTACTAGTACTACTACTAGTACTAGCGCTATCGCACTGTACATTCGGCAAAAAAGACATGAAAGAAAATCAAGCTCAAAGTGCAAAAACACCGTCGACTAGTCATAATGATAATGATCATCATGATCATGTTGAAGAAAATCATTCAAACGAAGAGAACTAACTAATGAAAGATACCGGTACTAGAGAAGTTTAGAGAAGTACAGGAACGAAGAAATGGAGAAGAGAAACGTTGTTGAGATGAAGCGTAGAGAGAAGAGCAGAAAGACCGACTGGAAAGAAGTTCTACAGAAGACTTGAGGGTTGAAGAAAGGCGAGAGGATAGACAGAGCGACAATACGTCAGTAGCAAAGATAGTCGTCAGCGAATTCAAAGAATGTGGATCTGGTTGACAAGCTCCACCATCAGGTAGGAATGGCATGTATGAATGCGCTTTGCTTTTGATTGCTGTACGCTATATGCGTGATGTTGTCATGGTAATTGTTAGTTCTGGTCTGGCTCTCTGCTGTCAGCCTTGCGTGCTGTATCCTGTATGTTCCATGCACTATCCATAGTCCGCGGTAGTGTCTGCTCCAGAGCCGGGTCAAGCGGGGGTCAGTGACCCGTTGCGGGCGGGGGGGGGGGGGGGGGGGTATTTGGACCCGTTTGGAAGAAGAACACCGGGTTGCTTGTACCCTGGTTGGGAGTCATGTCGAGTACTTCAACTTCAAAGGGGCACACATTGATATGATGCGAAGACCAATCAGGGACGAAAACGTACAGACCACATGACCCAGACCAAACAACCAGACCACGGACGCACCACTGATCACCCTCGCTCTCTGACCAAGCTAGCACTACTAATGCAAGTCAGTCTCTGAATATACGCACTCTTGCATGCACCTCATACAATACACGGCACACATCCTACTATACTCACATAATTATAGACTAGACCATGACATCAGACACTGGATTCTACAAGACAAGAACCATATACGACAATGTGCGTAAATTATAATTGAATCGTATTTCGCAACATATAGATGTGTGTTTGTGGGGGAGGGGGGGGGGGGGGTGGGGGGGTGGGGGTGGTGTGCGTGTGCGCGTGCGTTGATCTGTGGGTGTGTGTGCGAGAGAGAGAGAGAGAGAGAGAGAGAGAGAGAGAGAGAGAGAGAGAGAGAGAGAGAGAGAGAGAAAGAGAGAGAGATAGCATTCACTGGCCAGAAAAGCCACGTCAACCAGCCGTGTGGTGTATACCAGGCTAATTCTTTTTTTGACTTTGTTGTATTTTGCAAATCCCAACGGGCATTTCTTCCCAATAAGGAGGTAGTGAAGTGGGAATAAAAAAGAGAAAAAATGTGATAGTCAGCTGGAGATCAATAGTATTGATCCATTGTCAAACATGGCATGAGCTACTGTTGCCGGTATTGAGCAAGGAATACAACATGCACAGGCTGTGACCAATAGTGTAAGGGGTACCACTGCAGCTTTAAACGTCCAGCGTTGTGCTGGAGCGGACGTCTCTACGTAATCTGTTCCATTTTTCTGTAGAGAAGATGAGGTTGCGTTTGTTTGGTGTCATTCCGACAACATTCCAAAGTCCTTCCGCCGTGTTTTGGTTCGGGTGCGTTTGTTTGATGCACGCGACATCGTTTGTTGAGTGCAGATCCGATTCCGGTTGCGGAATGAATGGAGCAGAATCGATTCTGTGTATGCATGCCTTTGCATGGATGGATGTGACAAGGCCGTCACAGCCACCCCACTTTTTCGCCAGTATTTTTCTCGGAGCACACTCATGGCCAGCAATCGAGGACATCTGGGAGTTGTAATTTTTGTACTCCTCCGAGGTGTGATTTTTGGCGTGCTGGGCCAAGCACAAGGATCCCACCTGTCAAAAAAATGAAAAAAACGGTTGTTTGATCCTTTGGTGTAATCTTTGTAGCTAGTCGAAGCAAGTTGCCGTTTGGAGCAGAAACGCTGAAATTGACTATTTTCTGCATGTACTCATGCATGTACTCAGGCATGCAGTCTCACTCGTATTTTAGCTCTTTTTCTGGAATGGATGCTGCTCTGAGCCCCTTGGTGAGCATTTCCTGCGCTCGTGGAGCAGCTGAAAAGGACCACTGGTATGTCTGGTTCCTGGTTTGAAAGTGGAGAGTCGACTTTTGTGTCTTGAAAAAGGAGTAGAGAGTGATAAAGGTACATCTGTAGCTTATTTTGAGTGCTCCTTGTACATTTTTGATCGTGATAAAAATTCTCAGACCAAAGTCGATGATGATGGCCGATCAGTTTTCTTCTGGATTTTTTAATTGTTTCGTCTCGTATCTATGTCAGTATCGTGATGGCGAAGTGGAGAGGGTGATTTTCTTCCTCTGGGCTTCTTTCGGCCGACTTTGCTTCGTCCTCTTTGAAAAGTGATGCTGAAAAAAGGTCGATTCGCAAAATTATGTTGATTTTGAATGTTCGTGATGACATGCGATTGCTGGCTATGTGCAACAAAGCGCAATATCCGCAGCTCAGTGCAACCGTGGCAAATAATGAAGAATCCCTGTCCCCTATCGTGGTTTGTTGCAGAATCAAAAAGTCATTCATTGCAGTTACACTGAAATGGCACCAAATGCCTGAAAATGCTTGCAATTGGCTTCAATTTTTGAATATTTTCCCGGGGAGGATAAAAAAGAAATTATTGTCCCCGATCGTAGCATCTTCTTGGTTTGTTGCCGAATCAAAAGGTCGTTCATTATAGTTCCACTGAAATGGCACCAAATGCCCGGAAATTCTTGCAATAGGCTTCAATTGTTGAAATTTTTTTGCCGGGGAGGCCGCATCTCCCCCCCCCCCCCCTTCCATGGCCGCCCCCACCTCTAAAGTCGATGCGACGGGCCTGGGATATTTGTGTCTGCATGCATGAGTGTGTGTAGTGTGTGGTCAGGTGTACGTATGTATGTGTGCAAGCTTTGGTTCTACATAACGTTATATCAAAGTACGTTGTTTTGTATTTGTGCGATGTTTTGCTGACAGGGCAAAGGAGTGGTATGGCCTGTTCAGGACTTTGCTTGGGTAAGCAGTACTTTAAACACAGAAGGTGCAACTATTACGAAACTGCATGTCGGAGAAAACCAGAACAAATGTGCAAGTTGATCTCTCCTCTTTCGCTCTAATGTTGCAGTTAAGTTTCCTTTTCAGGTGTTAAGAAAATCCCTTGAGAAATGGCGTACCCTGAAAAATGGCGTACCTAAAATCCCATAATGTATGTGTATGTGTGTAGAACCAAACCACACCACAGGCGCGTACACAAAATAAACTATCAACAAAACTAAATCAAGCTCACATTACCTCCTCACCTTAGAAGGGGTCCGGGAAGTAGCATCGCTTGGCCACGCCAGCATCAAAGAAGACTAGAGCCAGCACCCCTGACGTAACAAGTAATAATGTCGAAAACAGCCGATATACAAGCGATGATAAAACCTCAAGCTACGTCTTCAACTATCATGAACTATATATTGGCAGATAGAAGAACACCTTTTCTAGTACTGAGGAAATGTCCCCGATCATCCTGTTTGGATTTTCTTGAAGTCTATTTTTTGTATTGTTCCACTCTACCATGCTGACATACGTACACACTCACACCTGCTCTGGAAAGCTGGTCTAGTCAGCAATTTCTACTCCAAAACTGCTCCTTACGCTGCACAACAAAGTGTAAAGGGAAAAGTAGCGGTGATCACTTGTCACTCCAAATGACAAGATTCTCCTTCCAACCCCAACATTTTCTGGTGCGCCAGTTGATGCCAAACTGACTGAGGTTTTGCACGCATTTTTTTGAATTTGAAACCGTTCCTCAGTATAGTTTGCTCTGCAGCGATGGGAGTAGTGTTGGATTAGAAATTCCTGGCTAGATGTCGCGGAGAGGCCAGCTTCCCAGCGCAGGTATGAGGTTGGACGTAACGTGGAACTCGCTTAGGGCATGTTCGTTTGGTTGGATCCGGATCTTGATTGATTGAGTGGATCCTTTGGATCCGCTAAGGTCCAAAAAAACTTAAAGGGAACATACCTGCCATTTTTCAGCGAAATCGGAGAGATCCACTTGCACACATACTTTGGTATTCTCAGACATGCTCTCTTAAAGGGTAAGTACACCCTAAAATCGGCTGTGCGCAGGTAGTCAAATGACTGCTGGGACCGGACCGTCCTGCTGTATGCTGTGGCCAATTGGCCCGGCTGCTGGACACAATGTGTCTGTGCTGGGACCATGTGGTCCTAACTAATACTGCTGTGCCCATGTGGGGCACGGCTGTGCGCAGGTAGTCAAATGACTGCTGGGCCCGGACGGTCCTGCTGTATGCTGGGGCACATTGGCCCGGCTGCTGGACACAATGTGTCTATGCTGGGACCAGCTGGTCCTGCTGGGACCATGTGGTCCTGCTGCTGGGCAGCGAGTGCCGCCAGTGCTTGAAAGCTCATGCAGAGAATTGTTCCAAAATGAATTCAGCTGAGGGGCTTTGCTTGCTTCCCCCCTTTCTGGAGGCGCTAGAACTTAGAAGTGGGTTGTGGTGGGCGGGAGAAAATTCGCACAACACTGCTGATATTGCACGCCAAGGTGCTCAAACAAATTTGTTTGCATAGAAAGGTCTCGTGCTGTTCTCTGCCAGCAAGGCTGCGAGTCCCACGCTGGCGCATGTGCCATTTTCCCACGCTTGGGGACGATGTACGATGACAGCCGGCGTTGCGGACTGCCTGCGAGGCGCTGGCCGCGAGTGCTTCTGTGGCATGAAAACTTTGGTTTGCCCGTTGCAAACCTACATTTATCACCCACACGCACATCAAGCAAGTGGAAGTTGGGGTTGCCGAGCTGCTGCGGCTGGATCATATCAAGTGTTTTGTAACAGAATTTGTAATCAGCGAATTGTTTGCAACAATGCATTTATACCCGGCGGCCCCGCAAAGCGGGATTGTAGAAAATTCTGTAACAATGCTGGTAGATGGCAGGCAGTGCAAGAGATTAAGGCCAATGATCCTAACTAATGCTGCTGTGCCCTTGTGGGGCACGGCTGTGCGCAGGTAGTCAAATGACTGCTGGTCAAATGACTGCTGGGACCGGACGGTCCTGCTGTATGCTGGGGCCAATTGGCCCGGCTGCTGGACACAATGTGTCTATGCTGGGACCATGTGGTCCTAACTAATGCTGCTGTGCCCATGTGGGGCACGGCTGTGCGCAGGTAGTCAAATGACTGCTGGGACCGGACGGTCCTGCTGTATGCTGGGGCCAATTGGCCCGGCTGCTGGACACAATGTGTCTATGCTGGGACCATGTGGTCCTAACTAATGCTGCTGTGCCCATGTGGGGCACGGCTGTGCGCAGGTAGTCAAATGACTGCTGGGACCGGACGGTCCTGCTGTATGCTGGGGCCAATTGGCCCGGCTGCTGGACACAATGTGTCTATGCTGGGACCATGTGGTCCTAACTAATGCTGCTGTGCCCATGTGGGGCACGGCTGTGCGCAGGTAGTCAAATGACTGCTGGGACCGGACGGTCCTGCTGTATGCTGGGGCCAATTGGCCCGGCTGCTGGACGCAATGTGTCTATGCTGGGACCAGCTGGTCCTGCTGGGACCATGTGGTCCTGCTGCTGGGCAGCGCGTGCCGCCAGTGCTTGAAAGCTCATGCAGAGAATTGTTCCAAAATGAATTCAGCTGAGGGGCTTTGCTTGCTTCCCCAAGAAGAGTCAGTGGTTAGTGGCAACCCCGCTATACACACTGCTCTTAGCCATATTTTCTTTCTTGCTTTCTTTCCGCGGTTGAGTAAACGCTGTGCTACATGCATGCAGATAGGCTTAGCAGTGACAGTGCGCAACACAATGCGTTAAAGAGTTTGAGTATGTGGTCCAGGCTGGAGCAGAGATCCTTAATCGGGCAAGCTGCTGAGAGGTCATATTCTCACATAAGGGGGTGCAGAGTGCTTAGAGTATTTTGGGCAGGATTGATACAAAAACAGTGCCCAGCAGCACGCGCATGCTCACATGGCAGTGTAGCCGGCTCATTGCTGGCCAGTAGGCAGGCCAGCCGGCACCCGGAGGTACGTTTTGTACATGTCACTAGCCCAGTGGCCGGCCTTCTGGAGCTGCCAAGCTGAGGCATTCCTTCCGGCCATTGCAGTAGCCCCGCCAATCCTGAGGGAGTGACTGCTAACACCCGGATCTAGGGCTCTCGTCATCCAGTAGTTCACATCTTTGACTGTGAAATATTGCCCACTTCGGAATATGAACAGCGGTGACGTCGTTGGCGTTGCGTGGCGGATAGCGTGGTACTTGTGCATTGCTTGGACAGGGCAGAGCTGGCTGCCGGACCATGGCTGCAAGATGACTTGCCCCCAGTGCCACGTTGGGAGGTCTTCGTTATCCCGAGTCGTATGCTGATCTGAGTCCCAGTGAGTGAGACTTGACCCAGGGTCAGAGTGCGGCCATTCGAAGCGGAGCGGGGAGAGGCGGCAGTATCCTCGCTCACTATGAGCAATCCCGCAAAGGCTGTCATGAAGGTGGCCCAGAGCATGCACCTGTCCGATTCGCAGTAGTGGGAGCGCTGGATCACGGTCAAGAGCTGCTGCAGGTCTGATTGGGTGATAGCCTGGCGTTGACATTGTGTCGGTGCTGCTTGCTGGCGGTGCTGCCATTGCTGACGCTCCGCTCCCTTCAGGGCTGCTGTAACTCTATCGTGCTGAGTTGTGTGTGACGGCCCGCCATGGCAGAGGAGGTAATACCTCACGGCGGATACATATACTCGGATGGTTGCGCTAGATCTGTGACCGGGTACGCAGTGGGTGATGAATGCAAGTAAGTCATTTACCGACGGCGTACTCGGCTGGCATCCCAGTTGTGTACACAGCTTCAGATACGCCCCAGACCCTGGCGGGTATGTGCGGGCAGAACTTGGGGCTACTGAGTCCCTAATTAGGTCGCCGGCCTTTATCAGTAGCGTCTGACGGAGATGATGTGCTCTATTGAAGTAGTCTGTTTGTTGGCGTTGGGCAGCATGATGCACCCGTTGTTCTCCCCATAAAGAGAGCGCAATGGCAATTGGGTCGAGTTCCCGCCAGATAATGCTGCGAAATAGGCCATCCGACTGGTCTGCTGACCATGTGCCATAGAACCGTGCTGTGTTGTAAAGCCCTCCGAAACCGACGCCAGGCGTGTCAGTGAAGAGCTGAAGGCTGGGGGACTTGGACCAACTGATGTCTCTGAATAGGGGAATGCCATTCCATGGGAGCGCCGATTCGAGCAACTAGTATGATAGCTCTGCTCGGGACCGCTAGAGCTGAGCTGGCAAATGACTCCGCATGGAGCAAATGACTCCGCATGGAGCCGGCAAATGACTCCGCATGGAGCCGCCAATGACTCTGAGTAGAGCCACCTAATGCTAAATATAAAGGTATGCATGACAGTTGAGAGCATATATTCTCATGGATTGTAAGAATACATTCTCGCGCCACATATATACTGGTACACACAGATTATAGACAGCAATAGCGACAACACACAAATTGAAGGGTAGTTGGCCGCAGCCAGATGTGAACCGAAGCACGAGTGAGGCATGAAAGCAAGCACTGAGAACAGAGTGTGTCTCAAATGGGAAAGATGTGCATGCGGATAACAGGAATAGGCCATGATGCAGAACCACTTGGGACCGTCAGATTAATTTTCCTGGACCGAGCCAGCCGGGAAAAAACCCTCGCGCCGACGGACGCAGTAGTGAGGGAAAAAACCGGGTGTATAACCCCAATGGCGATTTGGCATCATGTAGGCATGGCAAGCACATATTGGCAAGAGATAAAGAACACGCCCGATGCCATAATTATGCAACCGAAACATGTTGAGCGAGAAATACAATGTCATGTGTGCGCCAGAAACGTGAGTTGAGGTAGCGGGTGGGAGGGTGGGAAGGAAAGTGTGTGGGAACAAATGTTCCGCAAGTTGCATGCTCCAGAGTCAAAACAGCAATGACAGTGCAAGAGACACGACTAGCGCATGCGCACGGGTCGGACCAGCTTCCGGGGCTGAAAGATGCATG